AAAACTAACATGACAGTCTGGATGGCATTTACTATAAATATCATAAAGACCTCTTAAGTCTGAAAGGAGAAGACGTTTCTGAATCAAATCTCTGCCCTCGTCATTTTTTACTGAAACCATATCTTTCATACCTGGCATGATTCTGCTATTTTCGTCACTATTGTAAAAATCTTTACTTCGTGTAACAGTACTTTCCGGCAATGGTTTACCATTCTTAGCAGTTGTTTCTGCTAAAACGCTCTTAGATGCTTTCAATTTTCTAGCTTTTTTTGCAAAATACCTAGAACAGTTGAATTTCCGAGAAATTTGACTTAGACTCCATGCATCTGGTACTACAGTCAAAATCGTCAATCTCAAAGGATCATTAATTTCAAGAGTGGAAAATTTTTCTTTCAATCCACTCAACATATCTTCCAACTCAATCTCTCTTTGTGATTTTATGTTGCATTCAATTCCACTGAAAGATAATGAAGATGCACCGGAAGATACAGAAATATTCTGTTCAGTATCATGAGTACAATTATCAAACGTTTTATCAAGACTCGATGAGACGTGCGTATCTTCATTCATGCGAGGATATTTCATTTTCTTACATGCTGCACAAATTTTAGCATTATCTGGAAATTTTGGGAATAATCGTTTGATAACACTCGAAATGCGTCGAAGATCTTTCCCTCTGTGACCTTCCACATTATAGGGATTGCAACATCTTTTACCGTGTATACTAGACATATTCAAAATCAAATTCTACGATTCACGATCAAAAATAGTACAGATAATAGAATTTTCTGTAGTATTGTTCTGAGAGCAGTCCTAAAAGAACGGTTAAAAGTAGCTCTGAAAAGAACTGTTCGAAGAAAACCTCAGAGAAACGCTCAAAGCACAAAAAAGCCCAGAACCATGGGAGTCGGATATACAAATCCAAATATTAAAGCGTTTAGAAAAAAATTTACGGAATCACAATGAAACGTTTTTTAACGTTAAAATATTGTAATGAATAGCGATAATATCGCGGTAGAGAAACTCTCTCAAATGTGTACAAAATGGATTTCACGATCTTATTTTATGAAACTTTTTTGACTAGGTTCAGAAAAAAAATAATAATTCAATTGAATTTGATAATTTTGCCACGCGCCCATGGAGGACTTGAATTTTGTTATAAATTTTAATAGTTTTTTGATAATCTTTAGACCAAATAGGTCGATAAATACGAATTTAATGATGAAATTTTAAAATCTGCGTCCCAAATATACTCCTGATACCAAGTATTATAAAAATCTGTTAACTTCTTAAATTTTTCAATATTTTTGGTGGTCGTATTAGATCCGCTATTTTGAATTTTCAAAATCCGATTTGAGATTTGTATTCAGCATACAGAAAAA